ATGTGTTTGATGTGTTTTTAGCAAGAAAGCATGGAAGGTTTGAGCTATGGGACTCAAACTGCAGGGATGCCCTGTTTTGAGCAGTTTGAAGGTGATTCTGGGAATGGGGAGGTATTGGGGATCTTAGGGTCGTGCTTCAGCTTAGGATGAATGTCTTGAATGTGTTTGATAACTTTCTCTAAGCCTTGGTTAACTGATATGAGAGTTGGTATATGTTATGCAATGTTTCTTACACTTTAAGCAAGCAATGGCCACTTGGTGTTTCTAGCCTGTACAGGCCCCTATACTATGCTGCTAACCTTCCCCTTGATCAGTGTGATTAACTCATAAACTTGTGCCAAAGAGATTTCAAATGTACTTGCTTGGATTTGCTTTAGACATAAAGTGTAACTTTTGCAAAAATGGATATAATGCTTTTTCCAATTTGGGATTAAACCTTTAGGCAATGCTTGAACACATAGAACATGGTCTTGGCACAAAGGATTGGCATTAAATTTATGAGTGTAATTGAGATAAAAGACCTGTAATCAAGTTGTGCAAGCTGAGATTGAAAATGCATAGTGTTATGAACATGAAATTGGCCATGAACAAAGTGACTTTTGCCCATATTGCCAAATTCGATTCTCCCTAACCACAAGGGTGTTTGAGACTTTCTTGGACATTTTTGAAAGCTTGGAATGTGTACTATAATCCATATTTGAAATGCAAATTGAAATTCCAAGTGGAAGTGTGTGAAAAATGGTCTTGAAGTTAGGTAAAAACCTTGCCTAAAATAGGTCAAATTTTCTCTAAGTTAAGAATGGTTTAGTACCCTTGTTCCAAAAATTGTAACTTGAGATACAAGCCTTTTTTGGGAAAACTTTGTGAATAAAAGTTGTATATTATGCAATAGGCTACAACTTTCATGTTTTGACTTTTGCTTGAATCCAAATGAATCTTGGTGAGAAAGTGGGGCAAAGTTAGGAAAAAACTAGGGTTTTTCATAACTTAGAAAAATTCTAAGTTATGAAAAATCTTCATTTCAAACCCTAATTTGTATTTCTTGATTTCTTGATGAACAAGTTTCATGATTTGGCATGTTTTGATGAAAAATGAATCTTGACACTTGATTTTGACCAAAAAGTCAAAGTTTGACTTTTCAGTATACAGTCAAAATTGATCAATTGACTGGGAAATTCAACTGTCAATCTTGTGCATTTGGGATCTTTTGAACTTGTTGATCATGTCAAGATAATTCCATGGGGTCCTTGAGTCCATATGTGAGCTTGGTTTGCCATTGGCTAGGTCAAACAGTCAAAAATTGCCTTTGTGTAGTCAAAACCCTAAAAATGACAATTTTGCCCTTTTGATGATCTGATCAAATTTCTGGTGGAATTGTGATCCAAACTTGATCAAATGGTCCATGTGAGTTCACAATGTTGATGTGGGTCAATTTTCATGAGATTTGACTGTCAATTGGCCACAGTTGACTTTTTTCCCCAATATAGTTGATTTCTAGGTCAACTGTCCAATTGACTGGGCAAAATTTGGAATCAAGACTTGAAACCTGGTATGAATAAACTTGGGAATCCAACATGAAGCATGAAAGTCATTTTAGGCATTTTAGGTCAAAATATCTTTGTGCAAACACAAACCCTAATTTGGGTCAACAGTGCAAGGAGAAGTCCTGAGCAGAGGAAACCCTAACTGGATCTTGATCTTCAAGGGTCTTGTGATGAGAAAATATTGAGGAAATGGGAGGGAAAATTTTGGGGTACAACAGAATTCTTAGAAGCTCATAGTGGTATCATTGGATTCGTCTCATCCAGACGATCCTAACCGTACCCTCGCAAAAAATTTATTTAAAACATAGCTCAGTCGATTTGGGAAATACCAGAGCAAAAATATGAAATGAAATTTGAAAATTCAAGCATCAAATCACCACGAAAATTCAAACCAGAAGAAGCATAAGCTTCAGAGAAGAAGAGGCTATGTCCTAAGCATTTATTCGAGATGATTTGGTTGAGAAATCTACCTAAGCGAAGTTCAAATTATAATCTTTGAAACTGAACTTTTGTAGCTTGAGTCTGTGCTCGATTTGCTTGGTTCTTGTTGTGGAAAGTTTGAATGATGATTGAGAATGAAGAATATGTGGCTAATTTGAAGAGAAAAGACTTGGAATATGGAATCTAAAATTCAAGCTCAAGAGTTTGTATGGGATCTTGGCAGGGCTTAACTGGCTATCAAAAGCTTGGAAATTGAGAGAAATATGGTCCTTTATTTATAGGAGAGTGAATGGTGATGAGAAAATGGAGACAAATTGTGTGAAATCTTGATTTTCAAGTCAATCCGTGTGAGCATGAAATGTGTGACTTCACGTGCATCAAAACTCAGCCAAAACTTGCGTTTCAATGTGCTAATCGAGCCATGAAAGTTTGCTAATCATGTTTAAATAAAAAATGCGCAACAATTTTGTGATTAGAAACCATATTAAGCAAAATGCTATTGATAGTGGACTTCCTTTCTGAATTGATAGCCTCCACAGTAGGTGGTGTTATACTGAACTGGGTTAATAACTATATGTGTTAATCATTTTGCAGTTTAAGTTTCAGTCTCTATTATAACTTAATAAATTTGTTCAGGATGTCAAATTAGATGTTGTAATATCTGTCTTGACATTGTTCTGATGTTGGAATATTAGTATTTTCATGTGTTGCTTGTACCAGAGAAATTTTAGTTATAAATCTACTAAGACCTCTGAATACTTCTGCCCTTGCATGAATAATATGCACACCTGTACTTTTTTACCATTACAATTTATTTCTTAACGATTAGTAATGTCGTGTATGACTATTTAGAAGATATTATTATGTAGATTGACATTACAACAATGATTGCTCTAAATTTTGAAGTGAGTGGTGAAGGACCACTCAATAAAGGAGAAGCCAGCCTTCTCGTTTGTGTGTGCATATGTCGCAACATATACTTAGTCTTAGGGCCCACTAGGATGATTGGTACCAAGTAAAATTTGTTCTCTTAGAGATTCAATTTGGAGGAATATTTCTACCACCTCTCAAATTGAACCTGACACCCTCGCAATTTTTCATAATGATAAAAATATCTTTGTCAAAATTTAATTAAAAAAGTGTGAACAAAAAATTCGGCAGTGCAATTGAAAAATATGATAGTGTATTCGAAAAATCCAGGTATGCATTTTTAGCGGATATTAGAAAAATGAATTAAACATTTCTGATTTTTTATAAATCTAATATTTTTTGTAATTTTCTGAATTTTAAAAAAAAATTGGTAGTTCATTTATGATAGACAAAAAAATTGAAATTAACACTACTGAATTTTTCAAAAAATCCAATACAATATTGAATTTTTCAAAAAATCTGGTAAAAACTCATAGTTTTTGAAAAATTCGATATTGTATTTGAAAAATCCGGTAAAACCCCATAGATTTATTGAAAAATTCGATAAAAACTCATAGATTTATTGAAAAATCCGGTAAAATTTCATACTTTTTGAAAATCTTGAAAGAACTCATAAATTTTTGAAAATTTTGATAGTGTATTTTGAAAATCCAATAAAAATTCATAGGTTTGAAAATTTCGGTAGTGTGATTTGAAAAATCTGATAAAAATTCAGAGTTTTGAAAAATCCGGTAGTGTATTTGAAAAATCTGATAGTTCAAATTTACTAAATTTTGAAAAATTCGATTAAAAATCTTTGTGTTTCTCCAAATATCCGATAAAAATTCAAAACCCTAAAAATTTTGATAAAAACTCATTAATATCTCAAAATCCGATAAAAACTCACAAATTTTTTGAAAATCCGGAAAACATGTTATATTTTTAAAACATAAAAAATCACAAAGAATATTTTATTGTAAAAGCACTCATGTGGGAGTGTGAGGTTCAATTTCGGGGTGGCTAAAAGATTCCTCTTCAATTTGCAGGACAAGCTATCAATATTGTCCTGAACATGTTATTCCTCTTCAATTTACAGGTCAAGCTATCAATATTGTCCTGAACATGTTGTTCACTTTTTGCATTGCTTAGATTTTTCTCGCCATGCTTTTTTCCCTTGAAGTGGTTTTATGTTTATCAGGACTGTTTTCATTGTGTTGATCTTTCTAGAGACAAAGAAATGAGTATAGTTTGGAAGTTACATTAGTTCTAGACAAAAGTTGTTCCTAATGTTGACACAATCACCAAAATGATTGTAAAGTCCTTGCTCAAAGTTGAACAAATGTTCCCATCAACAATGTACATGAATGAAGAAGAAAAAAACACTTGATTGTAGAATCACTTAAAAGATGTTGACTTGTTATGTTTTTTGCCATCAAATTTCAAACAACAAATTATGATACTTTAGCTTAATTAAGTTAGGCAATCAAATTCAATGTGCTTCATATTTGTGTCATTCTTTACATTAAAGTTTTTCATTAAAAAATCATTATCATTACTATAAACAAATCACAGCCGATTTTAATTTGAATCTGAACACATATAAATACCAAAAGCACTTTTTTCTTGCATAAGTTTTTCAAGTGCAACATTGAATACCAAGCAATAAATTCGAACTTGTGAATGAATAGAAAGATTAGCAAGAGATTTTGAATTCCAACATTAATTGGGATCTATATAATCATGAATGAATGAATATTCACAAATACTATCTCAAACTAATTTATAAAATGAAAAATATGTACAATACCTTTAAAACAGTAAAATGTGGAAGACATTTATTATATATCAAAGAGGAGTCGTTAGTTAGTCTAGTGTTGATTGGCGCTGGACTTGATAGGAAGGGGGCTGGAACTTGAGTTTCAACAAGCTTTCTTTACCATAATATATGCTGTATATGCAGCTTTAGAAATGATACAGATTACAAGAGATTGGAAACGTAAAAGCCTACTAAACCCTCATACCAGACATGGAACAGAAATAGGTCTGCTTCCATGTAAACTAGTTTTCCAAAAAAAAAAGTCACAATTTGGAATACATATAGAACCACTATGTAACTGATATTGATTCTAACAAAACATCGACATGATCTTTAAGTTTCGCCTTTGTAATCGCACCTTCCTTCCTGCTTCCTGGAACTTCCTGCCCGTTCTTGAAGAGTATCAGACTTGGCAGTCCATAAACTTTATACTCTTTAATTAGCTGAGGGTTAGCATCATGATCAATCTTTACAACTGTTAATCTGTCTTCGTATTCCTGCAATATGATGATTAAGAGTATTCAGTTGAGAAACACTATGATCTCAAAGCACATTGACAATAGCTTCATGGCTATCTTTGAGAGCGTGTAATATGGACTACCGCACAGGGCCCAAAATCTGTACCGTTAAACCATGACTAATTAGAGCGTCATAAAATACTAGTCACACTTAAACAGCAGCTACATAGAGCCCGGTTTTTTTCACTTGAACCGTGACTAACCTACACAGAACTTCCAAAAACTTAACCGGTTCTGAGCTTCTAACCAGGATATCATATCAATCATATTCATTCCACAAGTTATAAAGCATTCTAAATTTTTGCCAACATTAAATTGCAAACAACATTAAATCACCGTCTGATTAGATCCAACGGCTACCCACACAATGCGGCTCACCTAAAAAAAAAACTACAGTAGAGATAGAAAGAGAGAAAGACCTTAGCTAGGGCTTCCATAGCGGGAGTGATCAAACGGCAAGGACCGCACCAAGTAGCAACAAACTCAACAAGAACCGGACGTTCAGATTCCAATACAGTTTCCTTGAACTGAGTCTGATTGATTTCCGTGATACCGGAAGTCACTGTAAACTTGGGAACCGCATAGGGAGAATTGGAGAACCTTGTTTTTTCAGAGTAGAGTCTCAGCGTGGACGATAAGTGAGAGGGTGGGAAGAGAAGAGATGAGGATACGGAGATGGAAGAAGAAAGTGTACGAAGCGGAACCGCAGGGAGAGAGAGTGTTAGTGATGCTGAAGTGGAGGTGATTGTGTCCATTGTGATACTTTGGTTGGAGCAATCCAACTAGGAAAGGAAATGATAGATAATGAAGAGAACCTATAAATTTCCCGGATGTTTATTTGTGGCCACAAAACAAAATACTCCAATTTCGTTAACTTGTTTAATCCACATAAATATTCCAGATGGTTTTGACCTATTTAGTTTATCAATTCTATTATAATCAATTATATTCACGACCAATTCAAATAAATCTTCTAATAAATAATATAACACAACTAAATTTTTACGTGACGCGCTGATTGTTTTTTCTTTCTTTTCATTTTATTAGAATCCACTAATAGAGTGTCATATATATTATTTAATTAAGTAAATATAATATGTAATTATTGTGTATATCCGTGCGTGCAAATTACAAAATAAAAATTTTTATGTTAAAAGAATTATTTCATAGATAATAAATTATAAATAAATTTTTTTTTATATTAGACAATTAATATATATAATTTATATATAGATTATATACATTAGTTATTAAATGTACTTAAAAAAAATCAAATGTACTTATAATTCGTTATAGTAGAATACTTTATAATTATATAAGGTTTATAAATGAAATTATGATAACATAAAAATAAATAGATAAATTATTAGTAGTACATATAAAATAAATAATTTAACTATTTAATAAACAATGATTATATAATAATCTCTATTATAACAAAAATTATTGTCTATACATTTAAATTTTACAATTTCACATTCACTTTTATAACTACTTCATATTGAAAAGTAACATTTCAACTCCTTCTATTCCAGAACAATGGCATTTATATATCAATTTCTTTCATCACTCTAAAAAATTATAAATAAGTAGAAATTAGAATAGATTATAAATAAATAGAAATTAAAGAAAATAATGACTCATTAAAATAACATTGAGTTATATGGGAGAGTCTTTCAGTCTAGCACTACTGATTAGTGAGTCGCAATTTTAATTTTCAAAATCCAATTAACAAATAATTTAATCTAATCTTTAAATATACAAAATGACAACTTAGTTTTTAAATTTAAATCATAATCTGATTTAGTTCATATATGTCATCTAACTATCATAAATCCCAAGTTAACATGTTCTATTAAACACTCATTTGAAGCATATTTCTACAATGATTCAACTTTATCAAAACACAAAAACATAAGAAAGTAGAAACAAAATGCAATGTTACATACTTAGAGTGAAACTTTTCCAAAATGCTATGAATCTTTAGACCGTGTTGTATGTGTCCCTAGAAATCACGTGTAAACTAAAAAGCTTACCACAAATTAAAGAGAATAATTGAAAATCGAGTTTATTAGTTGACACTTCAGAAACAAAGTTATCCCATTAAGTATCATTAAAAAGGATTTTTTTTACATCTACTTAAACTGCCAACACCTTATCCTTCAGCAACTTATTTTCACAAAATTGTCCCCGTGTTACTTATTTTTCTATGGCTTGTAAGAATGGAATATTCATCAGTCCATTTCTTATGTGTTAGGATTGATCATAATATTGTCTGCAAGTGTGAGTGGTTAAAATCTCACGTTTATGAATGAATTGAATATTAGATTTATAAGAGAGATGACTCATTTACCTAACACTTTAAGATTTTAAGTTGATATGTGGCGTCTTCCTCTCTTGTGGTCATGAAACATTAATTTTATTGGTGCTCTCGATTCTACCGGACTCCCTAACACACGGTAGCAAGAGCATATATTGTGTTTTTTCTCACTTTTCCTGATAAAAGTGATAAATTGTAGCAGAGTATTACTATGTTTTAGACCAATTTTTTACACCTTGGGCAAATTACACCGTATGCAGACAGATCCTAGAGTGGTGCACATATATCAAAATGTGATAAAAAAACTATTAGTAGGTATTCATGTATAAAATATTGTATAAAATAAAGTGTAGGTGTATAGTTTAGTGTCATAGGAACATTTCTGATTGTAGTAACTCAAATAGTAGATGATATAGAACAAAAACAGTAAGGCCAATAATGGTTCATCGAGGTTGGGGAAAAAATGGAGAGCAAGCAAAAAAATTTGAAGACATAAAGCATCAAACAATAAAACCTCTCACGCGTGAAGATAACAATACATTTGAAAAATATTTAATTATCGGACTAAACAAAGAGTTCAAACAACTTGTTTTGTGCAAGTTCATGTAATTTCTTCATATTTGAAACATTTTCTTTAGCACCCTGCAGTTAGTTTTGTAATAGTTGCTCCCTGCAAACAATAAAGGAATCAATAGTCTTGGTAAGCAATAAAAGGGATAGAAGGGTGATTCCAATACTCTAGTCAATGTATAAAGCTAGATCACCAAACAAATAATAGATAAATTCAATATTCTTGTGCGCTAACCATGAAACTACCGTTCTTTTAAAATTTTCAATGTTTTCTGGTTCTCCTATGCTAGATTGTGATACACAATTCGGAAGAAAAAAAACATGTAATGATAAACTTCCACTACATATGAATTAGGGTAGTTTCTAATAAAATTATTATACACCTTAAGATCAAATTAGAATATTTTTCCATTACAGAGAACTGAATTAAACATCCTAGCAACTGATGACCTGAATGAACCATGAATTATTTATATATAATCTACTAAAAATTGTGAGAGTAAGGTACCTCTACTTTTATTTTAATGATGTCAAAATATTTTTCGTATCTTGCATTTGTGTTCTTAATATTGGTTGGTTCTTTGGTGAATTTGCGTTTGAGAATGAATGGCGTGAAACTCCTTGAACTAAAGCATTTTTGGCCACTTCAACTGCTTGCGTCGACTCACATAGTTGATGGGTTGACTCATGGCTTAATCAAGGTTAATGCACCTCGCTCGGGACTGTTCACATTGACCCTTCTGATCGACTCATACTGGGAGTAAAAATATTTCAGGTTTCATCAATGCATGCTCCGGTGCGGTAGACGCGTCATTTATTTATGAATCATCTCATCAAGCTCGGATTCGCTCAGGTCGACCCCCCAATATGTACGAGTCGATGCATTGCTAACTTAAACTGTTTGTGCTCTGTTTTTTGGTCTTGCTGAATGAGAAACTTATTTATATTGGTTTGTGTTCATCATTTGGTGTCAACAAGAAAAAGTGAAATATATACACACAACTTCTCATCATCTTCATCCTCTCCTTGCATTCATCAACAATTACTCATAATAATTTTTGTTGATTAAAGTGCAGAGATGTGTGTAATACAATAGGAGAACTGACTTTTGAATTTGCGTTTTATCGCAAATGTTGCGGATAGCAAGAGTCGCCACCGACTTTTTTATCCAATAAAGGAAAGGGTGAAAAGAACGTGAAAGGCCTTTGAGAATTTTCTGAGTTTGAGGGGTAGGTTATGAAAAGGGAAGGTATTAGCACATTTTTCATCTGTAGTTATCTACGAACTCTTAATTGCTAGCTCACTTTTGAAATGTTTTGTATTTGTGTATGTTTTGAAAATATTTTGAAAATGCCTAAGTGCGGCAATTTTGTAATGATTCTCGTATCGTTGAGAATACAAAATGTTTGTTTTGAAAATATTTGTGAAATGAAGTGTTTGTTTTTGGAAAGTGTGAGGTGAAAAAATTGTTTTAGTTTGTGAACAAGCGATTACGAGCGATCTACCTACTCAAAAAGTCTTTGTTATTTTCCTTCTCCTTTAGATAGTGTTACCCTACTATTAGTTAATAGGAAACCCTATCATTTGATGTAAGGGACAGACGTGGGTCATCGTACAGTCAAAGAAGACAACTTGTAAGAAGCTTTAACAATTGTCGTAAGGGACTAAGATCGTTTACCAAAGGCAGCATTGAAGGGTCATCAAGGGACTACGTTCGAGGGACATGACTTTTTTTATCTGAGGCAACAAGTGAAGTTATTTTATAGGTGTGTGTGTGTGTGCGAAGTATTTTGATTTCAAGTATTTGTCTTGAGATTATGTTTTTTATTGTTTGTCTTTAATCTTGTCATACACGCCTAATTACTAACAGTTATATATGGAAAGCGGTAAATTGGAGAATTCAAATGTCCTACGCTATTACAATGATTCGGGAGTGGGGAGTACAAATTTATGAATAGATATGAAAAGAAGTAAACTCTAATTAAAGCTATTATAGACCATTGAGCAGTTATAATAATTAGGAAATAAAGTACGCGAAGATTTGTAAAATATAGAAAAGAGAAAGGAAATTGTTTTGTGATTGTTTTGATGGAAAAAAGTTTGATGATTACCTTAATTATTTGATTAATTTTCATTAACAAAAATTTAGTAAAAAACCTAAAGAAAAAATAATAAATGAAAAAGGTTAATTAATTTTAATTAATTAAAAAGAAAGCTAATTTAATTAAATCAATAAAAATAAAGGAGTTTCAATTAATTTTAATAAAAAAAGGAAATTAATTGTTAAAAAATAATTTTTGATGTTTTATTTACAAAATATTTTATAGTATAATTCTAATTATTTTATAAATTAACCATTTAAAATAAAATAAGGTGATTAAATTAAATTAATTTAATTATAAAAAATTAAATTAATTAATTAAAAACCTAAATCTAAATTTTTCATGATTTTATGATTTTGTTGATTAAATAAAAAAATGAAATTAAAAAAGAAAAGAATTAAATAAATAAATAAATAAATGGGCCTGTGTTGTAAGCAAAATGGGGGGTATGGAAAAGAAAAAACAAAAAGCTCAAATTAGGGAGCCCAGGTTGTTGTGCTGGATCCAGTGGAGGTGACCTTCAGGAGGTGCATCGTAGGGCTTGCATTTAGTGCATTGGATCAACCTGTATGATGATCTGATGGTTGTAATATGAGGTGCATGATGAGCACGTGTGACTTGTTTGCACTGGATCTGAAAGAAACAAATATGTGAAAAATAAAAGGGTACCGTGGGGCTCAAACTCAGGTCCCTATAGTAACGCGCGCTTGTTTTACCACTGGGTGGTTGTTTCATCTGATTATGAAACGCCCCCCTAATAAAT